ATTCTAGCCAACAAAATGGCACACATTTTTTCTCAAGTGAACACGGAACATTATCCTGTGTAGATAATATGTTAGGCCAAAAAACAAGTCTTAATAAATTTAAAAAGATTGAAAACATGCAAGGTCTTTTCACAATGGAATGAAACAATAAATAAACAGCAGAAGGAAAACTGGAATATCCACAAATATATGGAAATGAGTGAACACACACTTAAACAACCAATGGGTCAAAGAATGTATCATAAGGGAAATTAGAAAATTTCTTGAGACAAATGAAAATGAAAACATGACATACTATATCTTATGGTATGCAGAGAAAACAGTGCTATGAGGAGAATCTATAGCTGGAAATGCTTACATTAAAAAGGAAGAAAAATTACAAATCAACAATCTAAGTTCTTAAGAACCTAGAAATATAGAGGTATAATGATGTACACCTGAAATTTGTACGGTGTTGTAAACCGATGTTACTGCAATAAACAAAAAATTAAAAAAGTTATAAAATTAAAAAATAAAAAAGCTACTGAACAACGACAACAAAAAATAATAAAAAAAATAAAAATAAGAAAATAAAAAAATAAAAAGAACCTAGAAAAAGAAGAGCAACTAAATCCAAAGCTAGCATACGGAAAGAAATAGTAGAGATTAGAGCATAGATATATAATAGAATAGAAAATGAAAAGAGAAAATAACATTGAGTTTGTCTGCAAAATGATCAACAAAATTGATAAACCTTTAGCTAGGTTGAGTACAAGAAACAGAAAACTCAGATAACTAAAATCAGAAGTGGAAGAAGTGGCATTAATGCTGCTTTTACAGAACAAAAGAGGATTATAAGAGTACTATGAACAATTGTACACCAACAATTTGGATAACCTTTATGAAATGGACAATTTCCTAGAAACACACAACCTACCAATATTGAGGCATGATGAAATGGGAAATGTGAAGACATCTATAATTGTAAGGAGATCAAAAGTCTCCCAACAAAGAAAAGCCTAGGGCCAGATGGCTTTGCTGGTGAATTCTACCTAACATTTAGAGAAGAAGAATTAACACCAATCCTTCTCAAATTCTTCCAAAAAACTGATGAGGAGTAACACTTCTGAACTCATTCTGTAAGGCCAGCATTACACTGATCCCAAAGCCAGACACAGACACTATAAGAAAAAACTACAGACCAATATCCCTAAGGAATACTGATGCATACATTTTCTACATAATACTAGCAAACTGAATTCACCATCATTATTAAAATGATTATACACCATAATAAAATGGGATTTATTCCTGGAATGCAAGGATGCATTACGTTACAAAAACTAATCAATGTAATACACCACATTGACAGAATGAATGTCAAAAAACCACATGATCATCTCAACTGATGCAGAAAAAATTGTGTGACAAAATTTATCATACTTTCCTGATGAAAACACTAACCAAACTAGAAATAGAAGAAAACTACCTCAACGTAACAAAGGCCACATATGGAAAACCCAGAGCTAATGTCATACTCTGTGGTGTGGTGAAAGAAGGCTTTTCCTCTAAGATCAGGAACAAGATAAGGATGACAGTTTTCACCACTTCTATTTAACATATTACTGAAACTCCTAGTCAGAGCAATTAGGTGAGAAAGAAACAAAATGCATCCTCATTGGAAAGGAAAAAATTAAAGACACCAATAAGTGGAAAGATACCTCATATTCCTGGATTATACTTAATATTGTTAAGATGTTATTACCACTCCAAATGATCTACAGATTCAATGCAATTTCTATCAAAACCACAATAACATTTTTTGCAAAAATAAAGAATGTCCATTATAAATCCATACGGAATGTCAAGGACACAGAATAGCCAAAATAATCTTGAAAAAGATGAACAAAGTTTGAAGTCTTACATTTGCTGATTGCAAAACTTACTACAAAGCTGCAGTAATAAAAATAGTGTGGTACAGGCATAAAGACAGATATATATACATAGACACACACCAATGAAATAGAATACAGAGCACGGAAATAAACCCTCAAATACATGGTTAAATAATGTTCAACAGTGGGGCCAAGATCATTCAATGGAGAAAGGACAGTCTTTTCAACAAATGCTGATGGGAAAACTGTATATCCACATATGAAACAATGAAGTTGGATCTTTACCTCACTTCAATACAAAAACTAATTCAAATGCATCAAATGCCTGAATATAAGAGCTAAAACTATAAAACTGTGATAAGAACATAGGGGAAATGTTTCATGACATTGGATTTGGCAATGATTTTTTTTGGATATGACCCTAAAAGTACAGACCACAAAAGAAAAAATGGATAAACTGGACTCTTAAGAACATCTGCACATCAAAGGGCACTATTAACAGAATGAAAAGGCAAACCACAGAATGGGTGAAACAATTTGCAAATCATATCTGACAAGGGATTAATATACAGAGTACATAAAGAACTCGTACAACTCGACAACAAAAAGACAACCCAATTAAAAAATGGGCAAAGGACTTGAAGACACATTTCTCTAAAGAAGATATACAAATGGCCAATAGCACCTGTTAAGATGCTCAACATCACTAATCATTAGGGAAACTCAAATCACTACCACAAAGAGTTACCACTTCAAATTCACTGAAAACAAAACAAAACAGAAAATGGGGCAGGCTTGGTGGTGCAAGCAGTTAGGTGTGTGCGCTCGGTTTCGGCATCCCAGGGTTCACTGGTTCGTCTCCCAGGCCTGCACCAATGCACTGCTTGTCAAGCCATGCAGTGGCAGCATCCCATATAAAGTAGTGGAGGATGGGCATGGATGTTGGCTCAGGGCCAATCTTCCTCAGCAAAAAAGACGAGAATTGTGTTCGGAAGTTAACTCAGGGCTGATCTTCCTCACAATAATAAAAAAAAAAGAACTTTAAAAAAATAAATAAGTGTTGCTGAGGATGTGCATTAATTGGAATACTTTTGCTTTGTTGGTGGGAATATAAAATGGTGTAGCTACTATGGAAAACAGTATGGAGCTTCCTCAAAAATTTAAAAATAGAATTACCATATGATGAAGCAATTCCACTTCTGTGTATATATACAAAAGGATTGAAAGCAGAATTTCGAACAGATATTTGCACACCTATATTCACAGGAGCATTATTCACAGCCAAAAGTTGGAAGCAACCCAATTGTCCATTGATGAATGAATGGATAAACAAAATGTGGTATATACATATAATGTAATATTGTTCAGCTTTAAAAAGGAAAGGAAATTCTCACAAGTGGCATAACATGGGTGAACCTTGAAGAATTATGCTAAGTAAAACAAGCCAGTTGCAAAAGGGAAACTTATGATTCCACTTTTATGAGGTACCTAGAATTTTCATACTCATAGAGACAAAGTAAAATGGTGGCTGCCAGTGGCTGAGGTGAGGGACGAATGGGAATTTAATGAGTATGGAGTTTCAACTTGAGGAAATGAAAAAAGTTCTGGAGATGTATGATGGTGATGTTTTCACAACAATGTGAATGTACTTAATGCCACTGAACTGTACACTGGTTAAAATGGTAAATTTTATGTTACGTATATTTTGCCACAGTTAAAAAATAATCTAGCTAAATGAAGAAGTGATCAACTTACTTTGCTAACTATGGGGAGAACTGGTGTCGATAATCGCAGTGTCACATATATTTGGCTATATATATTGGCTATAATATAATATATATAATATATTTTGAGGCAATGATTGACCTTATTTATGTTTTGCATAAAGATAAAATAAAATTTGTTTGCATCTCTTAAAAACTGATCTCAGGAGAAGCATTCCAGATATACACTGAGTAGCAGGAAGACTAAACTTTTAAAAAAAAATACTACCACAGATCAATTATTTCCTATAAGAATTAGCTTTATCAATTATGATTTAGTGATATGCTTCTCAGAAGAAAAACAATAATGTGCTTATTCCTTCCTTTAGTCTCTTCTTCCTACATTCTATCCTATATATCACTGTATATCCTCCAAACTGCTTTCTTTGTGATATTCCACTTCCTCCAAATTTAATTATCCCTTTGCCTACAAGGTAAAATCCAAAAGCTTCCACCTTGACATTTCAGGCCATCAAACAATCTGGTGCTTAACTGTGTTTCGAACTGCCCTTCAAATTACATTTCAACCTAAAGTCTCTGCTCTTATCTCGGAAGCCTTCTCGTTTACTTCCATGGTTTTGGTTGTGCTTTTTCCTAGACCTGAAATTCCCTCCATTCTTTTGTATACTTATCAAGTACAAATTCTACCCTCGCCATGAATTTCCCTTGAGGACACCATCCCATACTGATCTTGGTCTTCTGAATTCTGATAACCTTACTGACTGTAAATTTGTCACTTGGTCTTAGGTTAATATTATTTAACTATTATGTTTGCATATATATATTCTATCTTGAAAGGGAATGTGAAGGTATAACTACAAAGTCATGTGACTGACTTATGTTAACAAACATATTTACTTTCTTCATCCAAATGAATATCTCCCACTCAAAGAAGTTACCCTTGGGAAATTAAATACTTAATGCAATAGAGTGATTGTTCAGAAAATTATTAACATCTCTCTGGGAATTCTTTATGTATGTTTTGTGATGGTAGGTCTTCATGTTTTGAGGATTGATTTGATTTTCAAAACAGTCAAGTTATTTTGATTTGAGCTGCTGAATAGGTGGAGTGATCATAGCTTGGCACAAAATTTCTTTATTCTTACATGCCTTTTGTCTTATAGGGTGTCTATCAATAAAACTGCATTTTTTAATATATTCTTTAAGATGGATGTGAAACGCATTAGGAGTATTTCTTCAAAATATTATGAACCTAGGAGTAAGTGTGCAGTTTTACAAAGGATTAATCCTCTAAATGGATTAACACTTACTTGGAAGAGTACTTTCTGGTAGCCTAAAAATCTTTCTCGTTTCTGCAAAAATAATCAAATAAATACAGACATAAATAAATAGAAACATTTACCGTTCCACACAATCAGAAAGCCGGGAGCAATGGTTAGAAGCAGGGGCTTCATGACCCCCAACAACATATAAGAATCCATTGTATGTTGCAACTCCCACACCTCCACGTCTTTTGGACATTGGAGCACATGGACTCCACTTGTTAGTGTGTGGGTCAAAATATTCCATTGATTTGAGGCAGGAACTTCCATCACGTCCACCAATAGCATATAGCCTAGAAAAAAGACAGAAATGTGTATGTATGTGTTTGCGTGTATGTGTGTACATATATATGTATAAATTTCCATATAACATTTCCTATTTGTGCAAAGAATGAAAGTGAAAGAATCTTGCACAAAGCATTTCAAGTTTCTAGCTATATATTCTACTCCCTTAGTATTTTGTAACGGACGGCTTGAGTTTATGAGTGGATAGTTACCTGAAGGCACTTGTTAAGGTCTATCTTACCTCAAACCTCCCCACTTCATCATTTTTGTGAAAGTTACTTTGACATACTAGATTAAAAGATCCCACGAGAAATGAACTATAAAAGGTAGGATGTTTCCAAAGACCAACTCTGGCAACCCTACGACTTTAGCTAGGTTCAGTTGCCTAGCTTCAGAATCCCTGTTGTTTTTATAAACTATTTAGTATAAAAACATTTGTCACTAAGAAGACATTAACTTAATAAACAACTAAGGGAATAAGATAGAACCTAGACACCAGATTTTTTCCTTCGAGATATATTGGCTATAACAGTTCTCCCATAAACTTTAAAATGTCAGTTCCAACAAAGGCCTTTTATTACTGATAACTAGGATCCTGATCATTGGGAATGCTTATGGATCGATGGATTGCAACACTGAAATGCTGTATCACATGACCTGGGAGCAAAGAGCATGCATGTTTGGGGTTACTCACTTGTTGTTTAATGCAACAACACCAACTGTGCTTCTAAGAGATGACATACTGGCCACGTAATTCCACTGACGTCCCTCAGGGTCCCATCTTTCTACAGTATTTAGATAACTCCATCCATCATGACCACCAACAGCATACATTGGTCCTTCAAGTGTGGCTACACCTAAAAGATAAAAATAGCATGATGGCTCACCTAGGTATGCCACACATAATGGATAGTTTTATTTTGCAAGCAACTGTCTGCTTAAACATTTGTTTTTGTTTCTTAAATGATTTTATGTACACGGATAATTTGCTGATCTTGATATGAAACTAAATATGGTATTGTAACCCTAGGAAATTTTCAAGCATAGTTACTGTATCATGGAACGGTACTGTAATACTGAAGTCAAAGGAGGTAGTGAAACACACCATTTCTAGGGATGTAATAGAAAATAGACACTGATTTTTTTCTGGCATAATTTCAGTGCCATTTTTTGAAAGTAAGGGATAGATGAGATGATACTGAATCTTACATAAATCTTAGAATTGTAGGCTAACTGTGGTAGGTCTTTCTAATCCCTGCCTTTTATTATAGAGGTAAAAAAAAGATTCCCGTGAGATAACTAAATAGGCCTTTCTGAGGTTTAGTTGGAAATTTGTTCTATTAGATACTATGAATAGCCCCTTTCTAACTGCTTCTCATTTACTCTGGGAATTCACATAATTGTCTCCCTCCTGCCCACCTTCTTCACCATCTCAATCAGCCTCTCAGTGGTATATCCTCATCACCTCTCCTACCTCTTTAGTAATATCAATTAGATTTTAAAAACTTGCTCTGATTTCTCTGTAAAATATGTTTTCTAAGCTACATCTAGGAATCACACTGACACAACCCAACTGGATAATTATATAGTCTATCATTTGACGTAGACAAATTATCAGATAACTTGGGGTAAACAATATCAGTCCTAGATCTGCCACTTTTTAGTATTTAGCACTTTTTAGTATAAAAGTCAGTTCTTAAAAAACAAGGAAATTTTTTTTTTTAAACAAACTATGATATTGAAAGCGTATTGAGTATAGCATGAAGAAAGATGTACCCTGACAAATACTCAGGAAAATCAAAGTTCCCCACTGTTCCAGAAGTTTCCACTTCATCTTTCTTAAACTTCTTGGGAACTTCTGGCTTAAGTATAACTTAGAGCTGCTGTCAACCAGTGTTTTTTCTAAATATCTCTGCCTTGGACCTGCATCCTGAGGCTTTTGATGAAATAATAGGTTTACTTCCAATGGGAATTAACATGATTCATCTAACTAGAAAGACAACGTCTCTCAATCATCAAGTGCCCTTTTTTCTAAATTTGAGCTTAGAAAAAAATTCCCTGTTGTAGTTTCATATTCCTCAATAATATATTCCTTCTAAAAGTTTTATCCTTCCTAAAGTGGGATGCCGTTAAAATACTGGGGGAAAGGAGGCAGGATTAACAAGTGTGACATCTGAAACAAGAAAAGTTTCACAGGCTTTTACCATTTGCTTAAGCTTTTCAGCACTTTGGAGACATTTTGACTAAGGGTTTGGCTCAATCCCAATAATATGCAGCTGAATGTAATTTTTAAAAAACTTTACTAACTGTACATTCTTTAGAAACTATACAGGCATACCTCATTTTATTGCACTTCACTTTAGTACACTTTGCAGATATTGCTTTTTTTTTTACAAATTGAAGGTTTGTGGCAACCCTGCATCGAGCAAGTCTATTGGTGCCATTTTTCCAATGGCATTTGCTCACTTCATGTCTCTGTGTCACATTTCAGTAATTCTCACAATATTTAAAATTTTTCATTATTATATTTGTTATGGTGATCAGTGATCTTTGATGTTGCTATTATAATTGTTTTGATTGCCAAAACTGTACCCATATAAGACAGCAAACTTATTCAATATATGTGTGTGTTCTGACTGCTACACTGACCAGTCATTCCCGAATCACTCCCTCTTTCAATATAAGGCTGTTTCATCTCAGGCCTCCCTATTCTCTGAGATACAATATTGAAATTAGGCCAATTAATAATCCTACCATGGCCTCTAAATGTTCAAGTGAAAGGAAGAGTCTCATGTCTCTCACTTTAAATCACAAGCTAGAAATGAATAAGCTTAGTGAGGGAGGCATGTCGAAAGCTGAGATAGGCTGAAAGCTAGGCCTTTTGCACCAAATAGTTAGCCAAGTTGTGAATGCAAAAGAATAGTTCTTGGGCCGGCCCGGTGGCGCAAGTAGTTAAGTGCGCGCGCTCCGCTGTGGCGGCCCGGGGTTTGCCGGTTTGGGTCCCGGACGTGCACCGACACACTGCTTGGCAAGCCATGCTCTGGCGGCAGATGGGCACGGATGTTAGCCCAGGGCCAGTCTTCCTCGGCAAAAGAGGAGAATTGGCAGATGTCAGAACAGGGCTGATCTCACAAAAAAAAAAAAAAAAAAAGGAAAGAGGGCAAAATGAGCAAAGGGAAAAGGCATGTGGGACAAAGTCCAGAGGAAAAAAAAAAAAAAAAAAAAAGCATAGTTCTTGAAGGAAATTAAAAGTGCTGCTCCAGTGAACACATGAATGATAAGAAAGTGAAACAGCCTCATTGCTTATTTGGAGAAAGTTTTAGTGGTCTCGATAGAAGACCAAACCAGCCACAACATTCCCTTAAGCCAAAGCTTAATCCAGAGCAAGGCTCTAATTCTCTCCAATTCTATGAAGGCTGAGAAAAGTGAGGAAGCTGCAGAAGAAAAGTTTGAAGCTAGCAGGGGTGGGTTCATGAGGTTTAAGGAAAGAATTCATCTCTGACATAAAAGTGCAAGGTAAGGGCCGGCTCCGTGGCTTAGCGGTTAAGTGCGCGCGCTCTGATGCTGGCGGCCCGGGTTCGGATCCCGGAAGCGCCCGGAGGCACCACTTCTCCGTCCAACGCGAGGCCGAGTCCCGCGTACAGCAACTAGAAGGATGTGAACCTATGACATACAACTATCTACTGGGGCTTTGGGGGGAAAAAGCTGAATAAATAAAATCTTTAAAAAAAAAAAAAAAAAAAAAAAAAGTGCAAGGTGAAGCAGCAAGTGCTGATGTAGAAGCTGCCTCAAGTTATCCAGAAGATCTAGCTAAGATGATTAATGAAGGTGGCTACATTGAACAGCAAATTTTTAGGGTGGATGAAATAACCTTATATTGGAAGGTGCCATCTAGGACTTTCAGAGCTGGAGAGAAGTCAATGCCTGCCTTCAAATGTTCAAAGAACATGACGACTATTTTGTTAGGGGCTAATGCAACTGGTGACTTTACGTTGAAGCCAATGCTCATTTACCATTCTGAAAATCCTACGGCACGTAAGAATTATGCTAAGTATACTCTGCCTGTGCACTATAAATGGAACAATAAAGCTTGTATGACAGCACATCTGTTTACAACATAATTTACTGAATATTTTAAGCCCACTGTTGAGACCTACTGCTCAGAAAAAATGATTCCTTTCAAAATGTTATTGCTCATTTACAATGCACCTGGTCACTCAAGAGCTCTGATGATGTACAAGATTAATGTTGTTTTCATGCCTGCTAGCACAACATCCATTCTGCAGCCCACGGATCAAGGAGTAATAATCAATTCTTATAGTAAGGTTATAGCTGCCATAGACAGTGAATCCTCTGATGGGTCTGGGCAAAGTCAATTGAAAACCTTCTGGAAAGGATTCACCATTCTAGATGCCATTAAGAACATTTGTGATTCATGGGAAGAGGTCAAAATAACATTAACAGAAGTTTGGAAGAAGTTGATTCTAACTCTCATGGATGACTTTGAGGAGTTAAAGACTTCAGTGGAGGAAGGAACTGCAGATGTGGTGGAAATAGCAAGAGAACTATCATTGGAAGTGGAGCCTGAAGATGTGACTGAATTGCTGTAATCTCGTGATACAAATTTAATGGATGAGAAGTTGCTTCTTATGGATGAGCAAAGAAAGTGATTTCTTGAGATGGAATCTACTCCTGGGGAAGATGCTGTGAAGATTACTGAAATGACAATAAATGATTTAGAATATTACATAAACTTAGTTGATAAAGCAGCAGCAAGGTTTGAGAGGATTGACTCCAATTTTGAAAGAAGTTCTACTGTGGGTAAAATGCTATCAAACAGCATTGCATGCTACAGAGAAATCATTCGTGAGAGGAAGAGTCAATCAATGCAGCAAACTTCATTGTTATCTTATTTTAAGAAATTACCACAGCTACCCAACCTTCAGTAACCACCACCCTGATGAGTCAGCAGCCATCAACATCGAGGCAAGACCCTCCATCAGCAAAATGATTACGCCTCACTGAAAGCTTAGATGATGGTTATAGCATTTTTAGCAATAAAGTATTTTTTAATTAAGGTATGTACATTGTTTTTTTAGACATAATGCTATCGCATACTTAATAGACTACAGTATAGTGTAAACATAACTTTTATATGCACTGGGAAACTAAAAAATTCATGTTACTCGCTTTATTTTGATATTCATTTTATTGTAGTGGTCTGGAGCCAAACCCGCATTATCTCCGAGGTATGCCTGTATAATGTTAAACTCTTACCTAAGCCGTGTCTATGTGTTGACATGGGAGGCATCACCGTCCAGCTTTTGCCCACTGGATTAAAACATTCCACAGTATTCAAAGTTTTTAAACCATCTCTTCCTCCCACGACATAGAGCTTATTATCAATAACTGCAACTCCAAACTGAAGCCTACGGCCACTCATGGTGCCAATATGTAGCCAGCTGTTGGTCCTGAGATCATATTTTTCAATTGTTGTGGTACCTGTTAAAGGGATATTGAACAATGGTAAAAACCGCTTGTTTAAGAAATTTTAATTGGCATCATTCGCACTATATTTATGTACCTACAATTTATAGCATAGAATCAGTAATTGCAAGTCAAATTAAAGTATGTAGCTTGGATGATTCTCTAACCTGGCAGACAAGGCGAGGGTAACATTTTACCACTCCTGGATCCAAATCAAAGAGTTAGAATAAAATAGGGTATTTAATTTATATGGTTTATACACTCATAATGGCTTCTTTGGCTATATTATGCTACTGGTAGTACTAACACAAGTGTCAATTACCATATTTTACAATAAAATATTACCTTGGAATATATTACTGACTGTTTACACATCCATTATGGTTTAAATTACATGTGATCATTCAATATGTTAATTTATGCCCTTTTATTTTATTCAGTTTGGGGTGTGTGTGTTGATTTAAAATACAAATTTCTAAAGGAACAAGAATGAAAATTCCTTTTAAATGGACCTTTGGTGTTGATTCATTCAATGTTCTGTGATGATAACACAAAGAATTATAATCAAGAATAGAATTATTATTTATTTTTTATTATAATAATCCTGAGGTATTACCTCCTTTATGTGTTAATAAAAGTTCATTTTCTACTCAGTTACTGAAATACTAAGTTTACTACCATAGTATACTATCACTACTGCCATAGTAAATTATCATCACTTCATAATAAATTGTCAGTTCTGTAGGCAATGCTTTTTACCAGTCATTCACAATAGCTGCTGCTATATTTTAGTAAAAGTTGATTTTGCACAACAGGGAAGTTTCTGACTAATAACCAAGGTGAAAAATGAAAGAATTATTATTCACACATACAGTGTACCTAAGACAGCTTGTGACAGGCTTAGGGAATTTCATCCCAATTGCATAAAGCCAACCATAGGAATAAGCAAAAACACTTTTCAGTTGTTCTACTGGGAGATTTGTGGAGAAAATATAATCCATTAGTTATGATGAAAATATAGTTAACATCTGAAGTGTATCCACTGGCCAATTATAGGGCTATGGTATGGGGCCATATCAAGTCAAAATTTAAGCAGAGTGGAGCTGGCCCCGTGGCTTAGTGGTTAAGTGCGCGCACTCCGCACTTAAGTGCTACTGGCGGCCTGGGTTTGGATCCCGGGCACGCACCGACACACCGCTTCTCCGGCCATGCTGAGGCCGCATCCCACATACAGCAACTAGAAGGATGTGCAACTATGACATACAACTATCTACTGGGGCTTTGGGGGAAAAAGAGGAGGATTGGCAATAGATGTTAGCTCAGAGCTGGTCTTCCTCAGCAAAAAGAGGAAGATTAGCATGACTGTTAGCTCAGGGCTGATCTTCCTCACAAAAAATAAATTAATTAATTAAATTTAAGCAGAGTGCTATATCTTATATCTATGGCTGCTTCTGAAAGCTTTTCTATGTATATTGGATTAGTGAAAACAGTGTTTGTTTCTTTTCTCTAAGTTTAAATCTTTTCTGGTGAATAGTACACTTTAAGTATTTATGTCTCAAGAGTTTAGGTTTTCAAAATAAAAACTTATGAATATACAGGCATTCATTTACTCTTTCTCTTTAATCCCTGCATCTTTCACTGATAACATGGATTTGGCTGAATGCTGATTTACAGATCAGCAATTGCTCTATTGACTATATTTACTAATGAGAAGTCAAATACCACCACCTAGAAGAGTATCTTTTATCCACTAAATATCTCTGGATGATACTGTTAAAACTGGAATATCTACGAACAAACTCACATCTACTTTCACTCTGTCAACCAGCCAATTTTCTCTGAATGTTTTCAATCTTTACACTTCCTCATTTCAATCTTCCCAAATCTGTCTTCCTATCTGTTCCTTCTTCTTTTAACTTTTTATTTCAAACTCTTTTCATTAGTGGAATTTACCAATGAGCCAATTTAGATTAGGAAATGAAGGCTGCTGCACTAATTATTAAGATTATGGAGATATTAAATGATGAAGTAATTAGGAAATTGTACAAAGCTACATTAATCAGCTATATATAGAAGATTTATACACTGAAAGGATGTAGAAGTCTGCTTTATGCCAGGTTAATTTTTTCCAGGCGTTAGATTAAATATAGAATATAAACTTACCCCACATCTCTTATATAAACATATATGACTGGTAGTTCTGTATCTTGAATTCTGAAGATTTCTTCAGCCCATTTGCCCACCTCCACTAAATCTCCAACTAATCAAAATGTAAATCCTCTAGCTGACTTACTATAGCAGCTCTATATTTGATGGGAAAACTCAAATTAGATTTTTTACTGGTATCTCTTCTTAGGACCCACTTTATAACTGTTCTGTGTAAACTGCCCTTCTGCCCTAAAACATTGCAAATGTTGTTTCTCAATTCATTTCTAAGCTCCTTTTCAACCCTCATTTATGATCTATTCAAGAAGGAACAAAACCAACCAAACTTTGTGGTATCTGATTTAGTGATTTCCTCCATCTATTTTTTAAATGATCTAAAAATGACTACATTAGACTTTAATTTGTCCCCTGCCATACTATCTCTAGGAATTCATTGTATTTTAATAAATGAAAAGTTACTGAATACCTTGTATGTACAAAAGCCCAAAGTTTACCATTTGACCATTTTTAAAATTTTGACTCTGATCGTACTTACAACTTTCTGATGATTCTTTTAATATACATGGTAGGAGTTATTGTTAACTCCAGCCACTTGTGTGATATCTATATTTAGTAACTAATTCCAAGTTAATTATATGAGTCAGAGAGGAAATTAAAGACTGAGGAAGTACTGTATTTCCTAGACATCAAAAGGTGAAAGTTCAAAAAGTATCTTTAAAAAAAAGATAAATGAAACAACACACTGTAAGAAAAGGCATATATATAGAAATTCTTTTTTATAGTTTTATGAAAGAATGTAAATTGGTTTGTTTTTTAAATGTAATACTGATTTAATAGATCAACGTTACCCTTTGAATGTTTTTGCTATACTTAGTTTTTTTCTTTCTTTTCTTATTTCTTTTTTTTGTTCCTAAGTGCTCACTCTGGTTTTTCAATAGATTCTAAGACCCTCAACAAGAAGGGTTAGTTTTGTTGCTGTTGCTCTTTCTTCTAAAATAGTGGCAGTATAGCAAAAAGGAAGAGAGAGTAAGAATTCCATTTCTGGTCTTTCTAGATGTTTGTCCTTGGGTTGGCTATCTAACCATAAGGGCTTTAGTTTCCTTATCTGCCAAATTGGGGTAATCTTGTAGCATTATTGTGCGGATTATAAATGATGTTTGCAGAAGGCCAATCAAGAATCAGGTACTCAAAAACAGTAGTTTTTACTATTATTGTAATTGCCTGCAATTTCCCATAGAGCCTTTTATGTCTCCCTACACTAGGTACTCAAAGAGTCTCAAAATGATGGCCTTACTTCCTTCCATATCAAACTGGTAATAGAGTCAAGGGATTATAGGTTCACATTACACTCATTTTTAGAAGCTGATAAGTAGTTATAGATACTTATTACCATTTTTTGCGACACATTTGTTTATGTAACAACAGAAGCCTGAAAAAATAAAAAAAAATAGAAAACCAACACAAAAACCAGAAAAACACAAAATTTTCCATTTCTCACTCTGCAGGTTAGGCTTTTTAAAAAAAATCAGAGACTAAGGATAATTATGCTTGCATTTTGTCTTTAGTAACCTTTTAATTTAAATATCAAACAAGACGCCTTTTAAAATGCTAATATTCATTCTATTCAACAAAATGCAATAAAATATCAAGTTTTTAGACTTGAAATTAATTATAGGATCTCATTGTATTTGTTATTTTCTGAAGAACACTAGTTCTGTGAAGTGACTCTAGTACTTTGGAAATAATTGCATTTGCAAGCTCTTGTTTTATAGGTTTATGATTAATTGGCATATTTCCTATATAGTCTTCCAATTTCCAGTTACACATCTCAAAAGAAAAAAATTGGTTTCCAGTAGCACAGAACTTAGACTTTTGCCTCATTTTCTACAAGGTGTCAAATGATATTTCTATATATGATTTGGCAAATTTTAAGTGGGTTGATTTTATTTCCTACACAGCCAACTCTTAATTACAAAATCCTTGCCTCATTGTTTTGACAACATGGGTCTGTGACTGAGAAATCAAGTGTAAAAAGGCAGAACTATACAAAAATAAGTGCTAAGAAGGGTTCAGGATAGAGACGATGGCTTCAGAAACTTTTCCCTTTGATAAAATTCTTATCTAAAATCAGTACTTTATTCCAGATTTGAATTGCTGATCTTGTTATCAACACTTCAAGATTCTTTGTAATTGGTCTTTGAGCATCTAACAGGAAATTGACAGCAAGGAGTTAGAGGACAGTTCTATTTCAAAAAACAAATTTGGAGGACCTCGTCCCTTTCAATTACGATAAACCTTAAATAAGTTTTCCTTGACAAGATCTTATATTTCACAGCAAATACTCAAATTTAAAAATTGCTGCCGTAATATAAAAGTATCTAATTAGACAACACTAATTAAAGGGTTATATTCCATAAGATAAGGAAAAAAAGGTCACAAAATACCATATTTATGAAAATTAGCTTTAGATGCACACATTTAAATACGGCTTTAATACCACCCTCATAATTTGGAAGGTGTTGAGAATATATCTCTTTTGAATGATACTTCCTAAATTAATTAATTTGTTCCTGTTACCTTTCATAGCATTCATGCCTCCCACAGCATAAAGTGCCCCCACAGTTGATTTTCTAGGCTTCGTCCGAGGGCTTTGCATCATGGGTCTTCTCTCAGGTAAGAGATGATACTTCATAGCTTCCATCAGGAGCTTCTGACACTCAAGATCACCAGTAAACAGGGAGTCATTTTCAAGATCAGCCAGTAACTGAGAAGTAATGATGAATGGTATATGACGTGAAGAGCCCACCATTAGAAAGAACATGTTTTCATTTATATTGCTTTGGAGAAAACCGGAGCTAATTCAAATGTAGAAGTGTTATTATTTAATATTTTAAGTTACTTAGTAGCATTTTTATGTTCACTTATGATTTAAATGATTAAAAACCTCTTGGCAGTAGCTCATGATCTGTGTAGATTTGACAAATTATTCATCTTTTGAATATGTACTCATATAACCTCAAGGAATGAAAGTAAAGAAGCACTCATAAAATGTGTTATTGAAAGCTATCTGAAAGAATGGCTGTGTCTGCACAAAGCGAGCATCTCCCAGTCTACTGCATGTAGCTAAAGAAGTAGCCCCCTTTTTGGTGGATTTAGGGGAGGTGGTACAAACCTGCCCAGTTACAATAAAATATCACCCATAGAGGACTGCATCTTTATCATCAAATCACTTCTGTAAAGTATTCTGAAAGCAGGTGCTTTTTATCTGTACATGTACATGTGTCCATCAGTAAAGTACATGTGTTAGTAACTAGCCAATACATCAGCAGTAGTAGATGATCAATACTTTCTAACCATCATTGTCTGGCAGACAATAAGATCCTAACTGAATGGGATAAAAGCTAGGTAAAATATATTTCCTGAGATGAGTTGAGGAGAAATTAAGAGTTTGTTTCAGAATTTTACCAACGGTCATTTAGATTGGTTCCTTGGAGTTTTGGGTCCATAGTATCATAGGACATTGAGAGGAATAGCAAGAAGTTGGAATGGAGGCACTAATCTCACTCCATGCAACTTCCCTGAAGTTTCCTGTTCTGCACTGGTTAATCCCAGCTCTGTTTTCACACCACCCGTAATCTCTGATGGATCGTTATTTTGACTTGGTTGGTGAGACCCCCAGGCATTTCCTTAATGCATATGCTGCTGAAAATAGTTTGAAAACTGGGCTAAGTAATTTTCTTTCAAAAATATCCTTCAGAGATCTATATCATTCTCTTCATACATTTCATTTTTAGAATATTTGTTTAAGGTCACTTTTTGAAATTGTTTTGGAAAATCTATATTCTGTATGCCATTACCCACCACTACCATCATCAGGAAAAGTTCACACAGTCCACATGCTATGCATAAGGCATACACCACTGCATCTCAAATTTTTGCATATCTAAGAATAATCTGGAGAACTTGTTAAAACACAGATTCCTTGGCCTCACCCCTCGAAATTGTTTCAATAGGTCTGTGGTGGAGGCCTGAGAACCTGAGTTTCTAACAAGCTCCCTGGCAATGCTATGCTGCTGGGCCAGGGACATTTTGAGTAGCACTGCCTTAGCGAATCTGATAAATTATATAGACTATCTCTTGAAAATAACACAAGTGTTCACACATTCACACAAACATAAAATTTCTGTAGATTCTGAACTTTGGTTCTAAAATTACTGTCTATTTCAATGTTTCCTTTTTGGTGTTGCTATTGCCTTGCCCTTTGAATAAATGTGCTATACCCAGGAGGGCAGTCAATGTTCTTTCATTGCTTATGGATAGATTCTTAGAGTAAATATGTAGTTCCATGGAATTTAATTAACAGCTAAAAGTAAAAAAAATGTAGAGAAATCATCAGCACATTAACATTCTATTTTTCAATATTAACATTTAATTAGTAATTTTGTTCAAAATTGATTAATTTTAATGTTTATGAAACTACTGATCCACTAAGTCCAGATAAGGCCCTTCCAAATGCCAATGTGGATGACATTTGAAGACTTTAGCTACAAGCTATATAATATATGAAGTGTGCATATGTGCAATATACTCATATATATAACACATAAATGATATTTACTATTGACCAAATTGCTACAGAGAAAAAATTGTGGCTATCACCAATAGTAGAATTATGTAGTGGGACTGCACTCCACATCTCACTAAACTTCACATACTAAAATTCAGTAGTAGATGGGTCAATCCTGAATCTGAAACTATTATAGTATGCTTTCAATCATAGCAGCTAATTACCTAGCAGTAAGTATTATCCAGAATCTTAACTCCTTCCTAGAGTCTCCTCTGGGATATTGTTATACTGATTATTATCACCTTGCCTAGAAAGTGGGCAAGAAAAGAAAAGGAGTTAGCCTAGTCATTTTGTCTGCTTGTTACAAGTGCTGTTTGGTGAGAGAGGAAACTGAAAGCTAATGAGAATGCTGAAGTTTAGGGATTATCTCTAGGGTTTTTTTTTAATCCTTGTTTCCTCTCACTTCATCATTAATATTGCTCATTGAAGGCTGGATATGTCCTTCTGCAAAACAAATCCTATACACTCCAATTACCAGAAATCCTCCAAATAAAATAAAATTAGACAAATAAGAAATGGATTAATGCTTAGTGGTAGTTTAGAACTATAATTTACATTACCTGGGTAAGTTTCCATACCTGTGGTGGAAGTAAAGGCAGTCTGATGTAAGAAAGCAGCATCGCTAGGTCTCCTTGCCTAGCCTCCACATCATGTCCCACCCACTGCATTAGAGCGTGGAAAATGGTTTCTTCATTAGGCACATTAATGTCATCACTGCACAGAAGTTTTGAAATTTCATTAGCTGGAAGCAGAAGGAATTCTTGGTTCTTTATAACCTCGATGAAGTGTTCCTAGAAAAGAAAGGTCTTCTACTATAACTTTGTACTTTAGAAACGTCTTAACAAAGTAATCATATCAAAGCATTTCACTTTGTCAAACTTCAGAAAAGGCCAGAGAGACAGATACATGTATTTATAACAAATAGGTGGTATTGCTACCCATGACGGGGGCATGAGGAAGCCTTCTGAAGCTGAGGAGCCAAATGCTTCCACTGGGAATTATTTATTGAAGACAAGGAAAGGCCTTAACTGCTTCCCAAGTCACATGGATAGTGTGCGAGTTGATACCAGTGCTTTTCTCTCTCAGCTGTTGTGGGTGAAAACAGCTTATGACTCCAGAACTGGGACTGCTGTCAAGTTGGTCTTTATGCAAAAACCTTAAGAGAAAGGCTGCAAGTTTTTAAGGTGGAGACTATCTGGAAGGCCTGGGAGAGGTAGCTCTGGCTTTGCATTTTAGGGAGCAACATACTGAATTCCTTTGAGATGAGAAAAAGAGATTGAAGAAAAACTCTTTTCTCTTATGGAAAGGCATGATCTTCTATTAACCAAGGCAAAGATATTTTTTACAATGGGTAACAATCTATAGATTCAGGATAATCTAAAAGGAACTGCTAAGGAATTATTTTTTTGAGGAGAGTAAAGCTGTCTTTCAATTTGTATATATTATACCTCAATTCTCCTTTCTGTCATTGTGTTGTGTTGTATTTTGTTAAGTATCAAATTTCAGGCAGCTGTGTTTTAGTTTTTTTCATCAAAACACTATATTTTTTCCAATTTATTATGCTATATATTTTTCTTTGACAGCACAATTATCATTTCCAACATTTTCGTAGTAAAGGTCTCAAGTTTTAGATGCAATAAAATATATTTCTGAAATGGAGATAAACATGTCTAGTGGGTGATTTATGTTGCACAATAAATAGATATTCTGGGAACAGCTTAAGACAGCCTCTAAATAACTGGGGGATCTGGGTAAATCAAATCACTCCCCCAGCTCCACTCTGAGTTTAGTCGTTGTGAAACTGAGTTAGCCTAACAGCAAATTATCCATGCAACAATCGTCAAGTTTGATAGACCCATCAGGAAGCTCTGATACCATAAATTCCAAGTTACCTTGCCTATTTAGACAAAGAGCCCTCTTGTGACTAAGATAAACAACTGAGAGAGAACTGCTGTTCTTACTGTAGCGGATGTCTCTGGTTGAAAACCCTCTCACCTATAGCAAAATACCGGAGCTAGTAGTACAACTAATAATATATTACACTGGTATAGCACTTCACACTTTACAGATTCTTTCACAAACATTAAGTCATCAACAATGTGATTTGGTGGGAGGTGGAATTATTCTGATGAGAAAACAGGCTATGTGAATCGTCTGATATCCTGTGCAGTAAATTGCAAAGTATGGACTCACACCTAAGCCTTCAGGTCTACTTCATTTTGTTTGATACTACAACTGCCTTTCATAAGTGACATAATTTTTATGAAAGGGTTAAGAAAAAGATATAACACTCTAAAACTTGTGGTTATCTATTACTGATAGTGTGTGTAAACTCTGAAACTGTTAATATTATGGAAGACCCCATGTCTCATTCTCCTTTCTATCCACTCTCCATTGAAAGAAAAGAAAAAAGGAAAGTAAATGAGAGAGCGAGAGTAAGAGTGAGCAAGCGAGAGACAGAGAGAAAGGGAGATTGGGCCAGTATGTAAAACCTACTCAGTGACTAATGTGGATCATAGTACAGTCTATCAAATTTGGTTATAGATTTGAGAAAGTTAAGAAATGATTAAAATGCTTTATATGATGGTCATATTTATGTTATATCCAGAAATTAGATTTTTTGATAGAATTTGTTATGGCTTCAGAGTGGCTGCCTGAAGAGACTACTGAAAATTGCTTGGCAATATAGTAAATTAATCTAAATAAAAAATAAATGTATTGGTTTAAAGTATCTATATATGGCACTGCAATATCTAGTACTAGAGAGAAATATTCAGTTGTTTAAAGATTAATTTTAAATTGTTTTACTTTGTAATTATTTTGCTCCTAATTTCAAGGCAAACACTATCTTCTATGAACTTTCCCAAGAATCTTCTTTTATACCTTTGATTTGATATTAATTTTTTAATCCACACATATCGTTGTAAAACTTATTAAATGAATATAACATACTTGCAGAATGTTTTATCAATGCAGACTACTATTTATATGATTGTGATGGTTAATTTTATGTGTCAACTTGGCTGAGCCGTGGAGTGTCCAGACTTGTGGCCTAACATTATTCTGGGTGTGTCTCTGAGGGTGTTTCTGGATGAGGCCTACTCACATTAGAGAGGGCAATCTGTTTTACTCAATCTACAGTTCAAATGACTGTAATTATTTGCATTTTATACTATCAATACAGTATTACAAAAACATCATTAAAGCAAGACCTTTACCTATTTTACTACATTTATAATAGACACTAAAATAACTAAAGGAGACAATAGCATTGTGTTTTTATGCACATCCTGCTTTAACGCTCAGTTTAAGTCACATAATAGGAAAAGGAAGACAAGTTCATTTTGAGCAACAAAAATAATTCAAGCTGTTTATCAGAATGTGTTTTGTCTGCAAGAGTAAGATACCAGACAGGAAACTGTCAATACTTAGCTCAAGAATTTAAGTAATTTAACAGGAAGTTTTCATGTTTGGCTTTTGTGGTAGGATTAACCTTTGAACTATATAACTGCTGTTCCTATAGATTATATGGCATCTGTATTTAGGACATAGGAATATAAGTAGCATAATTAAATGACATGTTAAAATGCCAACTCATTATGATGTGATTCTCCACATAATGTATTGTTTCAGGAATATGTTTGAAACTTCAAATTTTGAACAATGAGCAGGAGTGGGAAGAAGAGGGGGGAAGTTTTATAAGAAATTTTTAGAGAATTCAAATATTAGAAATTTGAAAATTTTAAGGTCTATGTAAAACTCTAGAAAAATACTCTTTATTTATATACATCTCAATCCTAAAGTTCTAATGTAAATTTTGTTATTTTTAAACGTGATTCTTTATTGTTCACTTTTATGTACTTGCTTTTTATTTTTGAATCTTAAAAAACTATAGCAATTTTCTTAGCTTGAAATATTTATCTTTTGGTTGAGTTTCAGAGAAAGATCGATCTCTTGTGTTGTTCCCTGCTTCAGAGGTTAAAATTTCATATTCTTCTTTGCATCAGGGAATTATTAGCATTAATGGTAAACATTCATTTAATATCCTCTGTCTACTTTTTCTTGTCTCCCTACAATCTATATGTCATGTCACTGTCACTTGATTCGTATTAACACATACAAACATGTTCATTTAATTTATTATATTACTAATAGAATTAAGAGGGATTTTAAGTTCGTTAAGTTAAAGGATTGAACTGCAAATTGTTTTTAGCCAAAATACATGTTTTCATTAAGAGATAAAAAGTCCATTCAATAGAATTGTCTGATTTACTGTCTGAATTGTTCTTAAGCTTTTCCAGTTAATATCTATCCATTAATATTAGTTTTTTCTTTATTGAATGATATTTAACTTTCATTAGAAAGCATAATTTGTACAGTTTTACAAACTAAAGTTCTAATAGTGCAAAAACATCAGGGAAATTATGTTTTCTTAATACTGTGGATTCTACTTGAAATATGCACTTGTACAATTTAATTTTCGGCAGTATTTTCATTTCTCCAAGCTTTGAGATTTAATTAAACTTTTTTAGTTTCAAAAATGAGAAACTCGCTTGGGTACAGCTCAACCAGACAAATATTTTGATCTAATATCTATTATGTGCAAGTCATTTGCAAATTACTTAAGTTTACATTGCCTTTTAATTTTATCCCAACGTTATAATCTTTACTTTGGAAAGGTTTTATACACACACACATATCAGTAAACAAATCAGTAAATTAGATATTTTGTTAATATATTATTATTACAAGTTAACTTGAAGCAATTGGTTTTACCATTGTATACTTATGTGCCACGTTCAGGAGCTCCATACAGCCCTGGGCATCTCCAAATGATCGAATCCCTAAGCAGTTTGAAGGATGGAGTTGCTTTATGAGAAAATTGGAGCAGACTTCAATGACTTGAGTCAGCTGCAGGAGACAAGCTGCAGCCAGCAAATTTTCAATAGTGTCTTCTTTCAATTTCAGGACACCTAGATGGTTTGAAAAAGTAAAGAATGACTATGTGTCCCATAAAGTAAGACACAAATATGCTAGCTAGTTGAATTTTTCAATTTCTCTCATTACTGGGCTATTTTTTCTAGTGTACAATAACCACTCAGGGAATACCTTTTGAGGCCAACATATACAAGGGAGTCTGTATATACACTAATAAGATGGCTGAAGGGAGCCAGACTAGATTATCTGAAACAACTGTAGCAAATGAATAGTGAGCACCATTATTGCAAAGAACAGCAACTTGTTATTTCTTTATCATCTTAGACCTGCATCTAAATCTTATATCAAAAACTGTCTACATTATGACTTGAGGAGCATCGTGTCATATTGTATAAGGATCATACAATTGGCCATACAGGTAACTGTCATTTGTGTGGAAAAATATCTTGGCACGTAAGAAGAGCATTGAGTTTATAGGTCCATTTTTTTTTTTTGCGTCTCATTTATTAGCTGATAATGATGACTTTGCCCAAATATTACGCCTGGAATTGATGCCTGTCATTGTCTCAAAAGAAAGAAAATGTTGCCAAGAGTCCTCGAATAAAGAATTGCTTATATGATTATTTTCTTAGGTATAAAAAACAAGCTTGGCTTAAAAATACTTGTAAAGGATTTTTAAAAATGAGATCAGAGCAATTTAAGCTGTTCCCTTTATACTGACATATCTGGATTATTTTTGAAGCAAGCATTATTGATGAATAACTGCAAATGTTATAAGTTAGTTTGATAAGTGATATTCCTCCTTTTTTGTTTTAGCCAAGCTATAGGTAAGTTATAAAGAATGATATTTCATATGGATTCTATAAACCATAAACTATTCCTTTATAATTTTACCTTGTAAAATACCCTAATATGGATTGTATATGGTTGCATAACCATAAAGAAAAGAGTAATACATACTGTGAGATGCTCTATATTTGGTTCAGTCTCTAAAATATGTTGTAAAGGGGGTCCGGTCCATCAGCAGACTTTCTTGTGTTGTCTCTAGTCCTGGATTTTGAAGGGAGAGCCCTGCCCATATCTCATGGAATCCAGAGAAGTATGAACTATTCTCAGATTCAGATCCAAAGAATCACCTGCTATACACATTGAACCTTGGCCTGGTTATCAAGAAAAATATTCTTTTTTTATACTTTTTAAAATTGAGGTCACATTGGTTTATAACATTATCTAAATTTCATGTGTACATCGTTATATTTCAACTTGCGTATAGACTGGTATTTATACACAATGGACTACTACTCAGCCATAAAAAAGATGAAATCTTGCCATTTGCGACAAAATGGATGGACCCTAAGGGTATTATACTAAGAATATTCATTCCTTAATGAATGAAACCATAAAACTCCTAGAAGGAAACATAGCGAAAAAGCTCCTTGACATTGGTCTTGGCAATGATTTCTTGGATAAGACACCAAAAGCACAGGCAACAAAAGCTAAAATAAACAAGAAGGACTACATCAAACTAAAGAGCTTCTGCACAGCAAAGGAAACAAAAATAAATTGAAAAAGTGACCTACAGAATGAGAGAAAATATTTTCAAACCATATATCTGATAAGGGTTTAATATCCAAAATATATAAAGGACTTATACAACTCAATAGCACAAAAGCAAATAATCCAATTAAAAAATGGGCAAAGAACCCAAATAGACATTTTTCCAAAAAAGAAATCCAAATGGCCAATAGGTGCATGAAAAGCTGCTCAACATCACTACTCATCAGGGAAATGCAAATCAAAACCACAGCGAGATATCACTTCACACCTGTTAGGATGGCTTTTATCAAAAAGGCAAGAGAACCAATGTTGGCAAGGCTCTGGAAAAAAGGGAACCCTTGTGCACTGTTGGTGGGAATGTAAATTGGTACAGCCATTATGGAAAACAGTATGGAGGTTCCTGAAAAAATTAAAAAGGAGAACGACAATATGATCCAGTAATCTCACTCCTGGGTATATATCCAAAGGAAATGAAATCAGGATCTTGAAGAGATATCTGCACTCCCATGTTTATTGCAGCATTATTCACAATAGCCAAGATATGGAAGCAACCTCAATGTCCTTTGACAGACGAATGGAAAAAGAAAATGTGGTATCTATATATACAATGGAATACATTCAGCCATAAGAAAGATGGAAACCCTGCCATGTGTGACAATATGGATGAACCTGGAGGGCATTATTCTAAGTGAAATAAGCCAGACAGAGAAAGATAAATACTGTATGGTTATCACTTGTGCACAGAATCTAAAAAAAAAAAAAAAAAAAAAGCTGATTTCATAGAAACTGAGTAGATTGGTGGTTGCCAGGGGCTAGGAGGGGAAAATGGGGAGATGTAGGTCAAAGAGTACAAACTTTCATAAGTAGGTAAGTTTTGAGGGTCTAATATACAGAGTGGTGACTATAGTTAATAATATGATATTGGGTACTGTATACCTGAAAGTTGCTGAATATATATCTTAAGCGTTCTCATCACAAAAAAAAGAGTTAACTATTTGAGATGATGTATGCATTAATTATCTTGATCTTGGTAATCATTCCACAATGTATATGTATATCAATCATCACTTTGTATACTTTAAATATATTATATTTGTCAATTATTCCTTGATAAAGTTGGAATAAATAAATAAATACTTCTTGGCCCCCAAACTCGTTACCTTTGTTTTATAGTTTGAGTAAATATGATTATTATTTCAAAGGAAGACCCTGACTAAATCTTTAACATAGAGTTGGAATATCCCACTTCCACTCTCATTTTTACAAATGAGAATGTACCCACACCATTAAAGAGGGAAAGAGACCTATTCTTGTATCTTTGTGTTAAAATAGCTCTATTGTCTCATGGTTAAGAAATGTTTATAGCATATTATTTACCTCTTGCTCTTATATAGTATTGAATTTAAATCTTGATTCTGCCCCTTATTACCTTAGGAAAGTTACTTCACTGGTTTATCCTTTAGTTTTCTCACTTGTAGAGAAGGAATAATAATAATGTGGGTTATATAATGTAGGTTTATTATGAGGATCGAATGAGTTAATACATGCCAAGCACTTACCTGTGTAAGCATACTGCACCAAAGAATTAAGCGCATTAGGATCAACTCCTTCCATCCTGATCTCTTCTTGTTTGGCTTCAAGCACATCGTTAGTAAACATTGCAGCAAAATAATCAGACACTGCACTGAGAACCAACCTGGAAATAGGAATGTTTCATAGGAACTTAAATCAGTGCATAATCTCATTGCAAAGCATGAAATGCAGTCAGTAAGTTTGCAACACTGGTGAGTCTATTTTCTGCATAAATCTTTCTCAATTCAGTAAAGTATAGTGAAATTAACAAAGTAAATTGAGTTGATTTTCTTTCAGAGGATTTGTGCTGTTTTCCTTCATCAATTTCTCTAAAGTTTGGCACTTCTAAATATCACACAGGGAAATGGATCATATATGCTAATGCTTTTTAAATATAGGAAGATAAAAATCTATTTTCCTCAGTGTTCCAATGTGTAATCAATGGACTGATTCTTTCTCATTCATACTTGCTATACTCACCAAATGTTCTGCCTGCAGAACAATACTTACCGATGGGCTGGGATTCGAAGGTGTCCAGCAATGAGTAGCACATCACACAGTTGCTTCTCTTTCAGGTAGTTCTCCATTTTATGGAGAGTTTGCTCTGCATGGTTTACAGCAAGGAACTGCTCCTCAGATGTGCTGACATCCATTTCTTCAGGATGTTGTGTATCCAATCTGAGAGGGAGGAAAGAGTGAGAAAATAGTTTATTCTCTTAGTAAGTGTGCAAATGTCCATTGGAAATATAGGCACATCAACGTCTAAAAGAAATATATTGGATTAAACTTAAAATTTGCCCTCTGATCTTAAATATTTCACCATGATTACTGCCTAACCTTCCACTAAAGAGAAGTGTCATTGTCAGTATTTATATCTGAAATGGAACCATAACTATGTATGGTTCAGCTATAGGGCTAGTGGTAATTGTTATATGCACAAACATAAACTTCCAAATACCAGCCTCTTTCTTTGATTGTTATTGGTATCACAATTATGTTATTAGGCATGAAATTATAGGTATGATTGAAAATACTTTTTAGATTTGATTATGTCCTGAGGCTTTTCCATGGAGAAGCTTTTTCTCATTACACATCAGAATATTTCTTGAAGAATCTCAAGCCTAAGAATCCCATAACATTCTTTACAATATGTCAATCCCATGAAGAAAATATACATATTTCCATCTTCTATATCTTTTTTCCAGCTTTATTGAGATGTAGTTGACATAAGGTATGTGTAAGTTTAAGGTGTACAGCATGATGATTTGATCTACGTATATATAGTGAAATGATTGCCACAGTGAGGTTAGTTAATACATCCATCACCTCACATAGTTACCATTTTTTGTGTGTGGTGAGAACATTTAAGATCTATTCTCTTAGCAATTTTCAAGTATACAATAGAGTATTGTTAACTGTAGTCACCATGCTGTACACTAGATCCCCAGAACTTATTCATCTTCTAACTGGAAGTTTGTACCCTTTGATGATTTAGGCAAATATGATGACTGTTGAATTTATAATACTGCAAGCTGTCTACATGTTTTTTCAATATCACACAATGGTGGAATTTAAATACTGACACAAGCACATGGAGGCCTACAATCAGTAGAAGCTTAAAAATTTGATGGTTGGATGAACACACTTAAATACTTTGCTCATTACCTTTCTTGCTTCCAGGCATCATTTTCCAACCACCAGTTAGGATTAGTTTTAGTTTCCCCCACCCTCAACTCAGCCTGTGTTTCTTTGAAGACAGTTGGTCCAGGGTGACATTACTCTCTTTGTTTAATTCAAATAAAAGATTCATCTCTGAATCTTCTTAACCTTTAGACTCCTTGGGATATTCAGTCACAATACTGTATGGATAATCAGGGTAACATGGTATGAATATCCTTAAAAATTGCCTGCTACAAAATGCTCAAGTAATGCTTTGATTCACATTGAGTCAAACATTCAAAGTCTAATTATCTTAGCTAACCTCACATATACTCCATCATGTATTGGAGAGGGGCATATTCTAAAGGAGGAAGATGTTTTGGGAAGTTCTGGCCAGAAAATAATTTTATTCTATGAATTTTCTTCAGCCTAATTCGGTTAAGGACAAAAAAGTGTCTTTAATTACTAGCTAGTTTGGGATGCATTCACTGGGGCACAGTAAATTTATTATATATTTTTAGAATCTAAAAATCCTATCAGTATGAACCACACATAATTTTGTTAGGTTTCAAAAGACAGAGGTAACTTTATCTTGTGTCTCATCAAGAAATAAGAAATTAGTACTCAAAGAGATATGGGTAGATCAAATTATAGCATCCAAAATATAAGACATATTAATCTAAAGATATAAAAATATTATAATCTGCTCTTGATCATTATCTAAGAAGAATGTAATAAAACAAATCAACAACAATAAACTAGTCTATTGAAACTTAATCTGATCTTAATAATTTCCCAGGGCTCATAAATTACAGTTATCTTGCCCCCATTTTAGATACTGTGATGTCAAGTCAAAAGTTACAATGGAAGCCACGGCATTAAAGAATGTTATTCCCTTTTCTTCATTGTATGGTAACTAGATTGTGACATGGGAGGCAGCATGATGGAATGAAAAGAGCATTAATGCCTGGATTTATTTCCTGCTCTTGTATTTACAAGCTGAATGATCTTGGGCAAGTCACTTTATCTCTCTAAGCATTAATTTTCTCCTACAAAATGGGGGTGAAAATAATACTAATACCAATATTACCAACAATAATGCTAATGCCACAGGACTCTTCAGGTGATTACATGAATTAATGTACACGAAAGTCTCTGTACAGATGTTAAAGTCTTGTGTTAAGTTACTCCTAACTATGAAGATGTGCTTATTTCCAAAAATATCTTTAAAAACATTTTGTCTTGAACTGTTATTTATTTAATTAATAGACTTTATTTTTTAAAGCAGTTATAAGATTACAGAAAATTTGAGAACTACGGAGAATTCCTTAGTTTTTCTTGTCACAAGTGGGAGGATATTTTTGGTTGTCACAACTAGAGAAGGGTGCTACTGGCATCAAGTGGGTAGAGGCCAGAGATGCTAGTAGACATCCTATAATGCACAAGGAAGCCCTCTACAATAAAGAATTATTCACCCCAAAATGTCAATGGTGCCAAGTTTGAGAAACTCTGATTTACCCCTTAATTCTACAATTAGCCTTTTAAGCCTTTGAAAGTAGGGACTATGTTTAAAAATTTTTTTATAAGAATGCACCTAATATAATACCTTGCACACAATGAACATGTTAATTGCAGATTTAATATTCAAGCCAAATTTCAGTGACTAAACATTATATTAACTTTTTTTTGCTATGGCAAAATGAGTCAATTTATTGAGTTCTGAGAATGAGGAGGGAAATTTGGGCTATCGTTGCAAAGAACCATTATTTTATT